CCATGTCACCTTCTTTGGGCCATCTTCAGTTATGTCGTGTCATTTTGCATCCATCCACACTGCATCATGTGGAGTGCTGGAAATGAAGTTTTTCCCGTGAAAGTGTTTCTGTTTTCTTGACAGGGGAGAAGGAAACGGGTGAGATTAGTTCTGTAGAGAAGGTCAAGACAAAACTGAGGGTGTCACTTGTATTTTTTGTTGATGAGCGTTGAGCTCAGAAGTCACATTCCTGTGGAACAGCCACGCAGAGCTGCCTTTCCCACGTGGCGCTGGGATGTGACTAATAGCGCAGTTTGTAACTCGCGTGCCTGCTCTTTCTGGTATGGCTTTTTTTAACAGGAGGCCTTATTTTTATCAGTCCTGTGTACTTGGCAGGACAGCAGGAAGAGGTTTGCTCTGCTGAGAAGTATTACAGAGGTTTTGAGGTATTTCAAGGCAAATGAATTCGTATCTCATTGAAGACAAATGCATTATGTGCCCTGTCTGGACAATTAAGAGATTAGGAACCAGAACACTACTGCAATTCCAGCTATGGTAGTAGTTCCCATAAAACAATATTCCATTCTATGTCATTCTGCCATTTTTATAATACCTGTAGTGCATGCAGGATATGAAAGTTTTAATGCTTTTTTCCTTACTCCCAGCACTTTTTGCCATCTGCTGCAGTAGCGGAGACCAGCCCTATGTGAAATTTCGTGTAGAAATTAAACCAAAACCCAGAAAAGGATATGTAGACACAGAAGTAAATATTAACTCTTAGAAGTGGTACTTGGTGAGAAATGCCTGCTTGGTGTGAACCAGTGGTTTTGCTGGAGCGCTTCAGCTGTGGCTGGAATCACCAGCGTCTCAGAGATACAGCCGGGTGAGCTCCGGACTGTTTGAGAAGGATCGTTAGGTGCCATTTATGGAGGGGAACACTGAATTACAGGTTTTTGAGAAGGCAATTTCTGTCTGGAGCTTTTAAGAAATACGTAAAGGGGCTTTTTGTTGAGAGAAGCTGTTGAAGCATAGCTGTCCCAGTGAACTGCAAGAGGTGCCCCATGCACTTCCAAGGTGCACTAGGAATCATTTTCTGATTGTTGCACCAACTGCTCGCATTGCTTCCTGGGTTGTGTGTCTGCTGGCAAAACTTCCTTTCCCCTCTGAAATCAGTGCATTTTGCCTCTGTATTTTATGGCTTGTGAACTTCGAATCCATAGAGGGTTAGGAGTGAACTCTCTGGAGTGGCTGTTCTGGCTTACAGCTGTACAGACAGTGCCAAGGCAGCCCTCCCTCCCCGCCAGGCCTGCGTCTCCTTCGGCTCTTGGGCAGTTTCAAAAGGTCTGTAGTCACAAACTGCAGCTGGATCAGAACAGGCCAGCACACTGGGCCGTAGAGCTTACATGAGGAGGAAAGGTGGTTCTCCTATTTGAATCTCACTGTTCTCACATCAGAGCAGTCAGTGGCCTTGGCAAACAACTGCTGTTGAGTTTCTCCTTACTCGTGGGTGCATTTGCTGTTGCATATGCCTCCCTGCTTCGTGGTCAGTGTCTGGCTTTGATAGATGCATTAATCACCATTACAGAGTTGTATTTAAATCATCAACAGCACCGTCCTCTGCTTTCCTGGGTTCGGAGCTGAAGTTTAAAGAGCCCAGAAGGAAAGGAAAGCTCACTCCAGAGAGTCATTTGCCTCTCCCTGACAAATATGTGTGAAGATACGAATAGTTTGTTTAAAGTTGTCTTTGAAGAAAGACTTTTTGAGAATGCGGGAGGCGAGGTGAGTGTGAGTGGGGAGAGGGAATAGACAAATGCCAATTTTAATTGAAAATTGGCGATTCCATTTTGAATGATTGTCAGAACAGACTTGAGCATATTTTCTAGTCTATACTTAGGGTATTAATTAGGAATTAAGGGGAAAAAGAGCAAAGCAAAATGATCAAAAAGAGCAACTGATTTCATCTACATGGACTTGTGCAAACAGTTTGACACTGTCCGGCATGACATCCTTGTCTCTAAACTGGAGAGACACAGATTTGACAGATTGACTGCTTGGTGGATAAAGAACTGGCTGGATGGTCGCACTCAGAGAGTGGTGGTCGAGGGCTTGATGGTTGAGTGGAGAGCAGTGACGAGTGGCGTTCCTCAGGGGTCGGTACTGGGACCAGTGCTGTTTGACATCTTTGTCAGTGACATGGATGCTGGAATTGAGTGCACCCTCAGCAAGTTTGCCGACGACACTGAGCTGTGTGGCGCGGTCGACACGCTGGAGGGAAGGGATGGCATCCAGAGGGACCTGGACAGGCTGGAAAGGTGGGCCTGTGCCAGCCTCGTGGAGTTCAACCAGCCACCCCTGTAGCCCTGCTCTGCTACCAAACAAAACCTTGCCACACAAACCCAGTATGCCGTTTATTAGGAAAGCAAACAATGGCTTGGCATAATCTGCCAAAGACAAGAAAATTGAAGTTTCTTTCAGCAGCAGTTGTCTTATGTAATACAGGGAACCTTTTCCACAAGTTTCAGTATTTAGTTGGGGTATTATTTTCCCCCTGTTGGTTTTGGAACAGATCCTAACTCTCAAATTGCTTTCAGGTGTTGCAGGATATTCACTGCAGAGTACAGTATTGTAACACAGGGTGCTGAATATGCACTTACAGGTACATTGCATGCTCTTCTCCACCCTGGCTTCTCTTGTTTGTGGGTCCTAGTATACCCAATAATAAATAGACAGTTTTGCTTTCACTTTGCATTATTCTTTAGCACTTCTCAAACAGCATATTCCAAAAAGGATCGAGTTACACATCTGCATGTGTAAGCATCACCGAGTTCTGCATTGACTGTGGGTTATAATACCTGGGTGCAGGAGGTTTGGAGGGTGGCACAGAATTTCACAGGCACCATATGAAACCAAGCTTTTTCCATGCCAGGAAAGAAAATCATGAAGGGATTTTTTTCCCCCAACTGAAAACCCTCATAAAACTGGAATTCTGAACTAGTGGGACACAATTCAGTAAGAGGGGAAAGAAGTTTCTTGGTGTGAGACTTACTAGTGCAGGAGAAAGCAGTGACTGGAGAATTGCAGCTTTGGTGTTAGGTGGTTTTGGAGCTAGAGAGTGTTATTCCATGAACTTAAAAACGATTGCGGCAAGATTTCTCCTCGGTGGAGAGGGACAATTGGAAAAACTGACTGCACCGAGACCTGGCTGTTTGCCTGAAGGGGGATGGAACAGGAATGAAACAGTGTCGTTTGTTCTGAGTATGGTTCATAGGGAGGGAGTCATAAAAGAAGCGGACAAAGCTACAGACAGAAAATTGGCCAGCGAGAGCGTGGCTGCTGGAGAAGTGGCTAACTGCTAACTTGGAACCACACAACCTCAAACACAGTGTGTAGCACTTGTGTTTTGACCCACCTGATGATGTAGCAACACGAAAGCAAACGAGCAGAACACACGCTGTACTGGAGTAACGAAGCTGCAAAAACATGATGATAATTTACTGCAGCCTAGACCCTGTGATATGAATGTCTTAAAATAGCTGAAATGACCGCTTCTTAATTATAAACGTATAACCTGAGTATCATGTCATTGACTGTAAAACAATCAGGCCTTCGACCGTGTTTGGCTTCTGTTCGCTGTTCTGGGTAATCAGACTGTCTAAACATCCCAGGTGGCCAAATCGGGCAACTTGGGCGAGGCGTTGCTCGCCCTGCAGAGCAGCCTTGGCTCACGTGGGGCTCCCTGGGGCCTAGCCAGTGCCTGAGCTGGGCAGCAAAAGCTGAGGTGTTAGGGAACGGTGGGGCCTCCTTTGCCCTAGGGAGTGTGTGGCTTTTCCGTACTTGTCAGTCTTAGTGTTCAAACCTGTCTGCTGGATCCTCATGTGCAGCAAACAAGGGGGGAGGAAACGCTGAGTTTGTTATGTGCATTTCCAGTGCGATGTGGAAACCATGTTCTTCGACAGGTTAAATGCAAATCAACTCACTCAACAGCAGGGAGGTGCCAGAGGAAAGAGGTCAGCTGAGAATCTGCTCCTGCATAATTCACAATATTCAAATTAAATTAACGTAAGGATTTAAGATGTGCATGTCTAGGTATTTAGACATTTGCAGCTGTGAGCTTGCAGGTGATGAGCTGTGGTGGTAGGTACATGAGAGACACGCCATCAGCCAAGGAATCAAACGGTGTAAGACATCTGCCGCTTCCAGCAGTACTGGCTGTAAGGTGGTGCTGCTCTTACCATGAAGTCCCAGGGAAGTTGAACATCACCAGCCCTGTGGAAAGAAGCTCTGCATTTTTAGGCAGAGAAGTTCTTGCTGACAGAAACGCTCAGGCACTGCAGAGGTTGCCTGAGAAGAATTTGTCTGCCCCTTGCAGAGGGGAGCAGAGGAGCAGGTAAAAGGAAAAAGGCAATGCATTTCCCTTCTCCCCTAGGGCTGTCCTCGCTGGCTTAGGGAAGCTGACAGTGCTGCAGAGCTGCTCAAGTTGGCAGTGGTCGTGCTGGGGAAGAGAAAGGAGGACAGCATCAAGCTGCCTGGCCTGGGATCAAGAAAGCTGCTGCAGAACGGCCTCCCACAGAGCAGAAAGATTCTCTTGGCTGCTGCAGCTGCTGTAGTGTCGCCTCTTTCCTTCGGTGTTGCCCCCCATCTGCAAAACCAGCCCATAAGTAACGAATCACAGCCGTACTCTACACAAGTAGAAGAGATTTAATACAAATGCCTTCTGCCCCCCTCCCTTTAAAACAAACCCCAGAAGCCTGCAGAACAACATGGTGTATTTTCCTGAGGTTGCTGTTATTAGTATTTATTCAAGAAGCGAAGGCACCTAGCACTTTGGGGCCATAATATTTAGCTATGCCAGGGAGGTGGCGTTGTTGTTACCCAGCAGGGGCTGCATGAGGAACCAAAACAAGCTTTTTTCCTTGGTTCCCAAATAAGAAAGACAATCAATCAAGACCTTCTGGTATTTCAAGAAGAGGTCTAGATTTCTGTCAGACAGTGGCAAATTACACTTTTATCCTTTTCTTCAGGAGTGTATCATTGACGAAGACTGCGAAACAGGGAAATATTGCCAGTTCTCCTCCTCTGAATACAAGTGTCAGCTTTGTAAAACCCAGCACACAGTAAGTCCAGAACGAGCTTCAATATATGTTGTGTAAAACCCAGCACACAGTAAGTCCCGAACGAGATGCGAGTTTGTGTCCTCAGAAATTCAATATATGTTACTGTTGCTAATGTCAGCAAGTCAGAAACGATAGAGAAGAGGATGCAAAGCTTTCTGCATGAGGTTAAAAAACAGATGTGTATAGTAAAGCTTTCTGCATGAGGTTAAAAAATAGATGGGTATGGTGTTTTTTAATTTCTGCCTGTTAACACAATTAAGTTTTATGGTTTCTGTTCTCATGTGCTTTAAAACCTCCGCTCAAGCTTGACTTGTTAGGTGGCCTAAGGACAGCGTAAACTAACACATAGTAGGTTGCCAGTGGAATGGGCAGAGGAAATACTGTGCCAGCTCCTGAGGCTCAGGTGACAGTTGGTCTTCCCTGCTCTTGATTCACAGAGAATTGCAGCGGCCTGTGCTCCTGCCCTCACCGACAGCTTGTACAACGCCGCAGTGCAATTGTGACTGTAAATGATCGTCTTACATGGATCATTTACATTACTGGAAACTCTCAACCTCAGGAAGCAGTACATCTTGTCTTCTGAGCTAAAAGATAGAAGTTTTTGGTAGTGGTTAGATTATCTTCTGTAGACAACAGGTGTCCGAGTTCAGGGTTTTTCTGAAAATCCAGCTTATGAGCAGTCTGTGGAAAAGGCCTTGTACCTGCCCATCCCTTCTCTAAGCTCTGCTGATGGCCTCCCGCGAAACAAATGCATTCCTCAAAGCATTTGCAGACACTTAACTCTACAAGCAAGCAGATCTTTCTCTGAAGTCATGCAATCAATAGGATTATTATAATCTAAATGTACCAGCCTGTTCCCGAAATTATTTAAACACTTAATTATCTTGATAGTTTCAGGGAGCTGTATTGACTTCAGTGAACTGAATGCTTGCTTAAGCACAGGTCCCGAATGTACGCTCAAGTGTCATTAAGAAAGCTGATTGTTCAGATTTTACCAAGTATTAAACTGATAATTTTTCACGTTAACATGGAATGATTAAAAATCAAGACTGGGATGACCTAACACCTACACCCCTTCCTCTGCAGTCTTCAGCAGAACATTTGTAGGGTGAAGAGAGTAAAAACTGGATCCTAGCTACACTCCTGTTGTAAAGTGAGCTCAGACTGCAGGTGGTGGGATCAATTCCCTGACCTAGACCCCCCCCCCAATTACAAAACATTTTTCTAATTAGCAGGTCCTAATAGCGGTAGCATAGTCCTGCTTCTTGCCTGTGCTAAGCGCTTCTGTGGGATGCACCGGAAAAGAAATTCTGACTTTGTATGGCTGCCCAGACAGGGCTTTACACAGACAGAAAAAAGCCGTTAGAACGCTGACCTACTAGGAATCTTCAAGATGCTAATCGAACTGCCTAAAAAAAGAAAGTGACACACCGTTTTTATGAGGTTGATTTATTAGGTGTGCGCAGTCGAAACTACGTTGGCACAACTATCATTAAGCGCTCCGGCTTTTCAGGGAGAATTTTTTTCAGAGATGTTTTTTCCAAAGATCCTTGGTTACAAGCGAGGTCTGGTTCTTACTACACTTGAAAATTGCATTTTGGTCAGATTTTTTTTTTCTTTGAAAGCAGTCCTTCTGAACAAATTGTAAATTCCATGTAGCAATGGGAAAAAAATCAGTAATGTTTTCTATTGGTAATATTTATTGGTTTTGTTTCTCTTGCTTGGAAAAGGCTGTCCTGAACTCCACACTGCTCTGTAGGATGTCTGGCTGCTGATCAGTTTTCACGTAAATGCTGCAGTAAGAATTCAGGGTTTGCAGGGCTGTAGGGGCACGGAAAGAGCGCCGTTAGGCTGCTGCGGAGGTTCCTGCCTGGCAAACCCACGTATGGTCGAAGCTGAGAAGCCCAGCAGTTGTCTGAGCAGGGGAATACACCATGCAGAGAGTTCAAGCACACACGTGCAGTTGCCTTCAGGACCAGGGTCTCATCCTGTGTGTAGCAGCCTGTTGATAGGGGCAGTTAGCGCTCGAGTGACAGTTGTGTCATGTGCTTTATCCATTGGCAAGCACTGCTCCCGGGATGTGGAGTGCTGTGGAGACCAGCTCTGCGTGTGGGGCGAGTGCAGGAAATCCACTTCCAAAGGAGAGAACGGCACCATTTGTGAGAGCCAGCAGGACTGCAACCCTGGAATGTGCTGCGCCTTCCAGAAAGGTACACAGACTTGGCTTTTCACCCTCTTCGGTTTATCATACAGGAATGTGAACGTTTAGCTCTTTTGCCCAGGTGAAGTGGTTAAATCTCTAAAGTCACGGGGTCCTTCTCCCTTGGCCGTGGAGCGCACCTGCTAACTCCACTGTAAAGCCTTAACAGAACCAGGAGTGAGAAGCAGCCTGACGGGCGCACAGCGGAGGAAGAAAAGCCTGTTGCACGCTAGAGACAAGACCAGCATATTTCTGAGAGTCAGACATTTAAAAGTAGCAGAGCTCTGCGTCAGATTTTCACTCAAGGAACAAAAGAGAATTAAAAACATACAAAAGAATTCAATGAGATTACAGAAAGTGTCTTCTCCTTCACACCAGCAGGCAGACACATTTCATGCTCTGCGTGGGTATGAGCCTTCCGGGGCACCGTGCTGTGCAACACCGACTGGACAGCCAAGGTACATAGGGGAATGGTGTTCCAGCTTATGTTGCCCGTCCACATGGGAATGTGAAACTTGATTTACAGAAGGGATCAGGCCTGAAATCAGCCCCAAATCCTGCCTGGTCAGGGCCCAGCTGCCTCCACTGTTTTATACCCGCTAATTCCTCGTTGCTTTTATCATCATTCACCTTCACTTTGTAGTGACAGGATACAGCTCCAGCCATCTTCCTACACCTGGTAGACACTCCTCTAGATAGCTTTTTTCCCTGGCTGTTGCTGTGAGCAGGAGGTGACCTTGTACCGTCACTGCTGGCTTGGCTGCCTGTTGCGCCATCAGCCTGCTGGTGCATCGGCTACTCCGGCATTTCAGGAAACAGAGGAGAAAGCTCAAACACCATCTAAAGGCAAGTGGGTCTGCTCAGCTTCTCCTTGTTAATTTTGAGCATTACACAACGGACCTGTGATGTCACGTAAGTTCGATTTCAGCAAGTTTGGGTTAGAGCAGGTTTTTTCCCCCCTCCATCGAGTTTCTACCTAAAGCATTTACAAGTGCTGCCGTGCTGTCGGAGGTTTCTTCGCACTCTGATCCTTCAGTGAGACAGAAGAAACACTTCCAATAAATGCCTGTTATTTTCGCCGTGCAGGACTTTCAGTCCCTGCTCGTGCCAGAGATGAGTAAATCGGTAATTTGCATCCACTGGTGTTAGCAGCACTACACTAGGCTTACTGGGAGGGTAACACTGCTTCTGTAGTCCTCATTTCCTGGGATCCAAACAAGCTGCATCTTCAAGATGATTATTTCACCTGCATAAGACACACTCATATGTGTTTAAGTTAGTGCTTGGCTTTAAATGTAGTGTAGTGCAAACCTCTATCTCTGGAGAGAACAATGCAGTAAATAAGAATATTGACTAAAATTGATGGAACAGTATTATTCAAACTTTAAATAGAGCTACAAGGGCCTGTAGTGACAGGACAAGGGGTAACGGGTTTAAACTGAAAGTGGGGAGGTTTAGATTAGATATCAGGAAGAAATTCTTCCCAGAGAGGGTGGTGAAGCACTGGGACAGGTTGCCCAGAGAAGCTGTGGATGCCCCATCCCTGGATGTCTTCAAGGCCAGGCTGGATGTGGCTTTGAGCAACCTGGTCTAGTGGAAGGGGTCCCTGCCCATGGCAGGGGGGGTGGGACCAGATGATCTTTAAGGCCCCTTCCAACCCAAACCATTCTGTGATTGATTAATAGCAATAGGTTTTTATTCTCTGTGGTTGCCTGCTTTAGAAGTGCTGTAGGGTTTTTCAGGTTAGGCCTAACTTCAAGGTCTTTCTCCATCACTAAAGTATTGCAAAAGGTTGTCCTAGGAAAGATTGGGCTGTCTTCACTGCAGTTTTATATTAGAAAACATACATGTGAACAAGGGAGCATTTTCTCCTTAAGATATAATCTGGTTTGGAATTAGGGACTGATAAGTCACATACATTAAAGCATACATGTATCTGTGTATACACACACATATATATATGTATTTTGACCAAGCCTGTTTTTAAAACTTATATTCTTAACTCTTTATGTATTTTATACTGCCCTACCACAAAAACTGAGGTGAATGAAGACAAGAGGAGAAGGGAGGTTTGATAGGAACAGCTGGAGGAGCTGAATTCAAGATTGGCACGATAAATTCCTAGCATCAGGCATACGAAATTATCTAAACTAAATAATTTCTTATACACACTGAAATTCAGTCTTGTGCAGAAACAAGGGTGCCAAGCCCCAAATGCCATCAGATAGAGTAATTCCACAACAGAAAAGCTAATAAGTTAATAATTTCTCAGTAGTAGTAGTTCTTGTAACACCATTATTTAGTCTCTGAGCAATCACTCTGTGTTTGTAACCTCTGCAAAGAAGCCGAAGAAATAGGAAAAATAACAAAGTTCTAAAATATCTCTGTTTCTCTATTCAGATTTTTAAACCATTAATGCTGTGCATTGCAGAGGATTCAAAGTAATGTTACTTTCCTTGGGTTTGGAATAACCTTTCAGATCTCCAAGGGATGGAGTTGTGCAGTACTGCTTTATTGACAGTAGGCTCTGATTTTGCTCACTGAGCATAAACTTCTGTGCTAAACCACTAGGTCCTACTCCCACCTAGTGGAAAGAAGTGATGGCTTCCCAATGTGTAAGGGGACTTAAGAATGAGGTCGTCTGTCGTTTTGTATCTTGCGTATAGACCTAAAGATTAGATCATCTCTGCTGAGCAAACAGTTAACGACTTCTCAAAATTCCTTTACTCTGGCACGCAGAACTACTGTTTCCTGTGTGCACTCCGCTGCCTGAGGAGGGTGAACCCTGCCATGATCCTTCAAACAGACTTCTCAACCTGATCACCTGGGAACTGGAACCCGATGGAGTACTTGAGCGATGCCCATGTGCAAGTGGCTTGATCTGCCAGCCTCAGAGGTAAGGATCAACACTGGGCAAGCAAGCTACGTGAAAGTTTTGAGGGGTCTCTTTCTGTGGTAAACAGACACAGAGCTTCCAGGTTCTTTCCCAGTAGGAAATGTTTTGACAGCTTTTCTCATCAGTAGCGTTGGAACTTTCTCCAGCTTACTGCTTTGTCGCACACAGATGTCCCTGAGTTTGGCAACACCTTAGCCCAGTGTGAATTAAGCTGGTGTATGTGACTGGTACTGCTTTTCCACCAGTCAGAGAGTCCCAGCAGCTGTTGAGGCATGCCATGCCAATTTAATTCTCTACACGCAGCTCTTGTCCACCAACTTGCTACGTTCACTTGGACTTCTGTTAGGACATTTTGCTTGCTTTCATGTGTAAGACATTTTAATACATGCAGTTTAGCACAGACAGGCGTGTTCCATGATCAGCTTTACAGGTCACTTATCACAAGGACTGTTCAGACCTGACACACTCCATACCATGCAGACTTCTTCAGTATCATTGAGGTTCATGAATAGGAGGCAGGCTGTCTCCGTTATTTTCTGCCAGAAGCTAAAACTTTTAATATATCATGCCTTTAATCATTCTTTAAAAGGACAGTTACTTGCATTATCAGCAATTTCACTGGGAGAAACTGAGATCATTTCAGTTTTGCACCAAAAGCATGTTTAGAAAACCTACATTATCTGTGAAATAAGCTCCCCAAGTTTGTTCCTACACTCCCATTTTCATATTAACTTTGAACAAGACAGCGTAGCTGTGACAGAGATGCAGATTAGTATTTCTCCTTTCTGTGTCCAACTGTTTCTGCATTTATTTTCCTGCATGAAAGTAACTGGATAACACTTTGTTTCATAAATACAACCTAAGGCAGCAGGCAGAGCTGATCCATCCTTTCAGGTACCTATTTCAGGTAACGTGGAAGCACCATTAACCTCAGGGAAGGTACGTCAGCAAATGTCATGTCCAGTAAGAAGGAACACTTTTCATGAGGGTACGGAAACACAAATGAATTGGGGTGTGGTATAACTCAACTGTCCCGCTGTGGTCACGAGTGTTATCTGTTTAGGGTCATCACAAGGACAGCAGTACTGTACCTGCCCATGGCTCGCAGCAAGGTAAAGCTGCTTCTGTGAATTTACACGGAGCATTTGAGGAGTCAGGTGACATTTTTTAATAAAAGAAACAGCCCAGCTCTGCTTGAAATGGCCCTTGGCTAAATGCTACTGGTGAGCAATACACACTGAAATAATCAGGTTACATCCTAGAAAATACAGCCAGTCTGCCCACAAACGGAAGCCTTGCAGTTCCCAGAAAGCAAAGCATAGAGGAATTAAAGATGTACACAAAATAAGCGTCAGGAACATCTTTAGTTCCCTCACCCTTTGTTTCCAGGGGAAGAGGCTGCAGCTTTAGGCAGCTGTTGCAGTGCCTGGCAGAAGCCGTGGTCACCTTGCGCTCTGTCGCAGGGATCTTTTCAAAACAGAGTGCAGTACATACGGTTAGGACACTCCCTTGTTTAGAACCAAATACATAATGCTCACAGGTTTCTCAGCTCTACAGCAGCATTTTTTCCGCTTTCCTTTAAAGCTGGAATATCATGTTTCTTAACTTGGTATTATGACATGAACGGGAAGGACTAATCACCACGAGTGCTGGTGGGTAGAAGGGCCAGACTGTGCCGAGGCCCACAGCCATCCTGTGTCCCAGTATCAAACGTGTTGCTATGAGGGTCTTTGTTCTAGCTCTGCATGTGGAAATCCCATCTTTAACTCTCCAGCTGTCACGCACATAAAACCCAGATGTTTATGAAGTCAGCTGTGGCAGAGCTGACAGTATTGTGCTTTTGACATGCTTTCATGTGGGGAGGGAACGAGGAATTTTATGAAGGAACTAGGCAGAAGAACACAGAAAGATGTACTGTCTGCATGACCAGATGTCTCTCTCTTCCACCAGCCACAGCGCTACCTCTGTGTGTGAACTGTCCGCCAATGAGACCAAGAATAATGAAAAAGAAGATCCCTTAATCATGGATGAGATGCCATTTCTCAGCTTGATACCCAGAGATGCTCTTTCCGATTATGAAGAAAGCAGCATCATTCAGGAAGTGCGTAAAGAATTAGAAAGTCTGGAGGACCAAGCAGGCTTGAAGCTTGAGCCTGACTCAGCTCGTGACCTGCTTCTGGGAGATGAAATTTAAAGTCCAAGCACCAGACAGTTTAGTTATTTCTAGATTTTTTTGGTCTAGTGTCTTGCTTATATAAATCCTAAACACATACTGCTGGATAGAAGTGCAATAAACCAGGTCTTCAGTGAGCATCCTTTTCTGTGCACTAAACCTGCATGTTCCAGTTCCTGTTGAACTCATTCAACCCCTGAACCAAACCTTCTGTCAAAGACAAATGAGAGATCTATCGCTGTTTCTTCTGGATTAGTACTTTCCCCTTGTACACTGGAAATAAACTTCACAGTACATGTACTTATTAAAAAATATGTGTAAGCATAAATAATCCTAAGTTATTAGTAACTGTAGAAGTGACTTTTGAGTACATGTTTAGAGTCATTGTCTAGGCTAAGAACCATCTACCTTGTACTGTTTTAGTCACTGGGTTTAAGGGATTATTTTTATTTTATCTTTAGAAAATATAGTTGGTGAAGCTGCAGCATGCAGATTCTGGGTGTCCTGTGTCTTCTCGTGTGCCCCCCAGTGTAAGGATGGAAAAAACGAAGGATGCTTACCCTGTTAGATGCAGACACCCTGCTGCTTTTCAGCTGCGTGCGATGTGTGTCATCTGTCCCGCAGCAGCCTCCAGTGTAACTTCACAACGGGTGTTCCACAGCTGGGGTATCCCTGGATTTTTGTACTTTCATAGGCGAGGGTCCTTGCCCTCCCCAAAAAGGAGGCCATACTAGCAAAAAAAAAGAGCCCACATCGCTTTCCATATAAGTAACAAACAGATGTACGTACTCACAGCCATATAACACACTGGCTGCTATTGAGGAACTTTCAACCTGACTGGTCAGGGCTTTATCTCTCAAGGGCAAAAAATACCACAGAAAACAGCAAACAGCTAAACGGGCTGGACACAGAGTCATCTCTGCCGTACACTGAGTAAGTATCAACGCAGGGAACAGTGCCGCTGCAGCTGCCAGGCTGTGCCTAGGCTACAGCCAAAGGCAGCGCCGCACAGGCGGCAGCATTCCGTGCCACACACACGTACCTTCTTGGGCGACGTCGGTCCAAGGATGTGCTGACTGCTCCATCATCACCGACCCGTTGTGAGGGAGGCAGTGAACGTCAACTCCTTCCTTCACGTTAACAGACAACCTAGTCAGCTCCTTGCATTTAGGTACTTGTGCTTCCCCTACTCGATTCTCTTGCATCCTGAGAAACTATTTGAGCTCTTAACATGCTGTGTAGGCAGAGATCTGCGTGTTACAAAACATGATTATCGTTACCATCCTAAGAGGTCACTGATTCAAGAATCAATAGAAAGCCAGTAGTAAATGCTGACCCATCAAACTTCCTGGCTCCCAGCTGTCTCAACAATTTGTACAATGGCTCTTCCACTATTAATGTTTTTTTGGGGTACAGATTTCACCATCCGTTAATGCACATGGTAAAACATGACAGGAGGTTCCAGCCAAGTAACTTTTCACAGACCTTCTTCCCTAATATTCCTTATGTCTGATCTGGAACAGTGGAGTACAAGCAAGAACAGCTGCAAAACTGCTACCAGCCTGCAAGTCTTTCACCACCTCTGCTCTACGAAGGCTTTTCAGCCATTTCCTTGGGTACCAGAATTCATGCTACTGACCATCACCATTATGAACAGGAAGGACAGTTCATCAGAACAGTCAGTTGAAGAATTAATTTCTGCCACCCATTCTCACACCAACACATGCACACACAGACACGCTCTCAGAGTTCACTGAATTCACCTTTCCTGTCTATCCCTGAAAAACCACCATGCTTTGGAGACCACCCACCCATACAAAGATAAGGAACAAGGTTATCAATGCAATTTTCCTCTTAAAAAAACAGTTTGAGAGCAGTGATTAAGGGTATTATTATTCCATTTTAAGTTTCTTGATTCCTCAATCCCTGAAAGATAAACTGTTGGTATTCACCAGAATCTGCTCGACTAGGCAAATTAGAAATTTAAGCCTTTTTGTTTCTTTAAAATGCCCATGGTCCAACTCAGAAATGTTTGAAATAATCAGAATGCAAAGCAGATGCTGAAAAACGCCTCCCAGACCCACCTGGAATACATTCCCGTACACCTAACGCAGAAGGAAGTGGACCACTGGCCAAGAAATTATAAGGATGCCCCTCAGTCCTCTATCCAAATTTCTGGGAAGACTTGAGGTTTTAAATTAACTTCTTCGAAGTTCTCAATGGAAGTTTCCCAAATGCAACTAGAGATGAAGCAAGCAGTTTCTGGCATTCTTTCCTTAACCCTATTTCATTCCGTCTCCAGACTTTTGCCCCTCTGTGGTTCCTCTGCTCCCGCTTCCGTTTGATCTGTGCAGGCCAAGAGGTGGCACAGGTCAAACAGAAGGGGAAGAAGGACTTCCTCTGCCCAGTGCCTGGCTCTCAAGCTGCCAGGTTCCTCAGGAATTTCAGGTACAGCTGCGCTTTACGTGTGAATATAAATGAAGAGGAGCAGCAGAGGGGCTACAGAACACCTCCTGCAACACTGCAGACACCCCCGGGGCTGTATGTGCACATACACGCACACACGCACAGCCTTACAGTTCTAACATCGCCTTGGAAGGGGCTGTATGTGCACATACACGCACAGCCTTACAGTTCTGACATCGCCTTGGAAATCGTGTATTTCCATCAAATCATTCCATAACTTTTCACATAAAAATCACAGCATTTAATGATTAAAATAACACAACAGAATGAACAAATGTTTTATTGGCATGTTCATTGTTGTAAACAGCATCTGGCATGAAAAAGTTTACCAAAACCTTTTGATTGTTATAAATTAGGTGGTTTTCCAAAAACTAGGGAGAATTGCTCTCTATTGATCTTTATGGACCAAAGCAAAAAGTTGCTGTTCCTAGGCTTTGCAATGAAATCATGTTGACTGCATCAGTCTTTGCACCACAACCTGAACTACCGAGTTTCTATGTTGAGGTGTTAGAGGTTGCCCCAAGGTTTGACTACATACAGCTACGGAATCAACTCTGGGAAAAACAAAACAACTTTCCATGGGTGGAGAAGATGCAAACTTGTAATAGTCTCAAACCCAAAATGTACAAAAAAGTAGCTGAACAAAACAAAGCTTCATTAACAAGGGGAAATACAACCCTAAAGTACCCAGCATCATCAAACATAAAATGAATACAGTTTTAAATAGGCAACTACGCTTCCAAATGTACACAGCGAACGCTGATATGTGAAATGGCAAATAGCTGAACGGCAGACCTGCTGTACGGATAGGGCAGACGTTATTTACACAATGAACGCGACAGAACAGAGCTGCTCATCGGCTTCCGTAACCTCTCCAAAAGCAGTTTACCTTACACCAGCACTTCTGCGAAACGAGCCGACTCCCGCTGGCAGCTTGCTGCAGACCCCCCCCAGACTACCTGGTTTATGGAAGAATATTCTAAAACCTTACACTTCCACCACTTCCATTTCACCTTTGACCCGTTGCTGCTGCTCTTCTAGAACCAACGTGTCAACGTTTACTTCAGACTCTCTGATGAGGTAATGCGTGTATCAGTGAAACAAACAGAAAAAAGGATTCTTTCATGGCCTTTGCACAGCTTTTATTATTAAGCTATGAGTATCCTGTTTGAGGCTAGTTTCACTAGCTACTATGTGCACACTGTCCTCAAAATTTTCCACTCGCTTCCCTCCCCGCCCATGTTTTAGTTCTAATCTTTTATTTGCACATCCCTTTTAGCTTTACAGTACATTTGACTATAGTGCACAACATGATTCCAAGTCAGTGGCCCAAGGGGGCACTGCGCTTCCGATTGGTATCACAGCCCAACCAGTGCTGGTGTCAGCGCTTTACACCTAGTGAGTGTCCTGCCGTAACGGCACTACACAGTAGTAGTGAACCTTTTTATTTTAAACAAAAAAATTCCCCAGGGAGAATGCTATAGCGAGTATCAGTCTTGAGTCAAATCTTTATTTGGTGCTCCATCCAGATAAATTTTTAGTGCTTTTTCTTTACGAGGAGAGTAGGTTACCCGGTGTCCAGTTTTCTGGAGTCTGCTGCTTTCTTTTTTCATTAGTTCATTTCTCTGCTCATCTGTTAATTCCATTAATTCCTCAGTTTTATCCCTAAAATGTAAAGATATGATAAAGTTCAGATTAATGCAATAATCATAATTGGATTTCTGTAATTTTTTCACTTGGAACAACTTAGTAAAAAACACAACCAAGGAAAATACCCCTTACAGATTATTTTCTTCCTCTCCAGAAACTACCAATCTGTCTAACCCTGCTTTTCCAGCAGACACATTCCATGTTCTGACAGCAGGCCCAGGAGAGAGCAGTAATAACCAAGCCTATACTCCTCCATGTACCTGGTGACTTCTGTTCTTTAGAGACGCTGACAACTCTGCTCTTTATCTGGTCCCAGCACCAAGAGCTGGAAGCGGCATGTCAGCCAGCCCCTCCTGGAAACTAGCAGCTGCGCTCCCAAATCATTTTCTTCAAGCCCAGCACATTATCAGCCAGCTGTTTTCCCCACAAACTCACAAGTACTCATGAAAGTAGGAGCAATTGTGAGCTTGCCCCACCTGCCAAGTTCCACAATGACAGTATCCAAGCTCTTAGCTCTAAGTATCTTTGGGCTACTGCTGCCAGTTGATGAACATTTTTCCCATTAATTTTTAATGTAACATCCCTTTTTTTAAAGGAGGCATACTAATTTCTTGAAGAAATAAACTCTGAAAATAAAATCCTTGCTCTCTAAAGCCTACAGCAAGACTCTCACAGACTCCACGAGGGATATGGTTCTATTTTAAGAGATTAAATCCAGACAGACACTCAAGCATAGCTACTAGTTTTGCATTCAGAGTAATTTTCAATGGTTTGGGAAGGAGGATTGAGTATAAGGGTGCAGTGGGGTTTTTTTTCTCTTAAACAGTAATTGTAATTAAGATGCAGGTTTTGAGGAACCTGAGAAGCACAAACATTTCAGCTCAATGCTCTAAACCCTCTTTCCTTTTAAGCAACAGAAGCGTATTTTTACATTTCCGTTCCTTACATCACCCCTCAAATCTTACAGGCAGATACTCTGCATGGTTTATCATACTGTGATTAAATACATACCTATAAAATATTACTGCACCATCATCACAAATGTACAGAGGCCAG